ACTTTAAAATTTTAATACATATCGGTAATTTTAGTTCCATCAAAAATTTTGTTTTCGTTACAATAGCTAATATCCGTTAAATACGTTAATAAATGCTCCATGATATCTACTAGTACAAATGTGGAAGAATCCTACTGCACAGGGATGCTTAGAAATAGTGTAGCACTTTGCAATAAGATAAACTTAAGCGTACCTCAAACATTTACATAAGTAATTGTTTGTCGGTCATATTCAAGCCTAATCACTCGCACAAAAGGGTACGTATAACAAATTTATCAACCCCGGCCTAACTGAGAGCACTACGAGGTTGGCAGACACTTATGTCAATATAATATAAAAGACAGTTAGTTGATCAGAATAATTTTGCTTACATCATTTGTACAAGATAAATGAAGATGGAAAGATTTCCCATTAGACCATTTTTTTCTTTAAGGGTGAACAAGACGGCTAGCACCCGAACGCGTTTATAGATTTTGTTCATATCTTCCACGTGTTCTTTGGACGATATTAACTAAAATCGATAACTTTTTATTTAAATATCAAGTTTTTCCTTTTTATCTATCTACGTTCATAAATCACCTGTAGTGGGCAAGGGTTGAAGGATGAGGGAAATTGTGGTGTAAAACGCTGCGAAAAACTGATCATATAACACTAAAATGGGTGTCTCTACGTGCTTTGTAGCGAAGAAATTAATTTTTACCGTAAATATTCCGCCACTTAAAGATAGTTGCTTCCATCGTACCAGATATCATAATACTAAGTTGTTCTTGCTTAATATGCGGACCCTCCGGCTAGGAAGTTAGGTAGGCCAAGTAGGTTTCTTTGGTTAGATCTGGTTCTGTGCATTCTCATTTCCATTTTCGTGTTCAGTATCATGCAAAAAGTATCTCCAGAAATTTTGATTCAATTCCATACGTTATTCCCGGCTTTACCATTCTATTTAGACTACCGGAGAACTATATAAATAAAATTAGATTTTTTTTTCTTGAAATTATTCTCTATAAAAAGATTCGGAACCATTGAGCAGGATAAATCCGTTGCATCCACTGTCTTCAAAGTGGATAGAATATTTAATTACCAACTTGCTGGGAAAAACAGAAAAGAATTAAACACGACATATTTGAAGAAACTCTCAGGTAAGTATTTAGTAGATGCCAACAACGTAATTCACTTTTGAAAATGGGATTTTCTAGTGTAATTCATTGTGTTAAATACAAATATGACCTTCATTGCCGCTGGAAATGGGCCACAATTAAGATATCGAAAAAAGTAAGGCAAAAAAAAACGTAAAAACGTCAAATAAAATAAAAACCTAACCTAACCCCTAGTGTAAGAAATTTACCTTAAGTATGAGATACAGGAGGATAAAGTGATGCGACTTGAATGAGGAAGTGCATGGTGTCCTCGTCCGAGTAATGTGCTTGGAGCACCGAGCGAAATATTGCCAGTAATGTTCTTTTTTTGGGTGAATTTATAATAATACACCGGTCTTTCTCTCGCTGTTTTTAATATGTATTTCGTAATGTTTAGACAATTCTAAGACAATTTTCTTCTATATTTCCGCCGTTGAGTAAGTGGTGTAAGGGTCTCAGCACTGTGGTCAGGCACTGGTAAAATGAATGTCCTTTTTGACACCTGTTCCCCCCAACTCATTCCAGTTACCTCACGTCCACGATTTTATAATGATATAACAAATTTACTTTCGTCTACTTCCATTACAATGCCAAGTCCGCCAATTGGCTCCTGATTATCTAGCCAATGTTCGCAAACCTCTGAACAAAAAAATCCAGTCGATAAAACTTGTTGGATATTTCCCAAATTCCCTGCTGTATACCGCTGAGAGAAGTGTTTCTCAGTGAAAGTGTTGCAAAGAAATAATTTTTTCCAGACTGGCATATGCAAATTGTCCAACCAAGTGCCCTTAAACGCACACAGAAAATCCACATTGACCGAATCTCTCTTGTCTACGGTGTCCGTTTCTTACCATAGTACCATGCATGGCGATCTACACGGTACTGACACTCTGAGTTACATTTTGGACACTTCACAGATGAAGCAAGAACACCGCGAGTTCTAAAAATATCAACGGCTGTTGCATCATTGTCCAAAACGCGCTGAATAACGGGCTAGTTAGCTAAAGTACATCCTTCACACACAGACGCCATCTTCAACTGCCGGCGCCCGCAAGTTGAGACTTGCGCTGATTGGCGCTGGGTATTACGTCACATTGGCAATCATGCTGATTGGCGTGCACGACTACGACGTCACATCAACATTAAGCTGATTGGCCAAATATTATAAAATAAATTTAAATTACTCGAAAACAATAAATTTCCGACGGAAACGTCATAGAGTAAATTATTATTTTTTTCTTTTCCCACCATATGACTCGATATTCAGTTAGGTGTTGACAACTACGAAGTATTAACCAATCACATTTACGAGGTGCGAATTTAAACCTGTCAGTGGAGTACTGGATATATTAATATATTAATAGTAAAACTAATATTCTTTATTTCTTATTAATCTAAATCGTCTACAATAATATTTACAATGACAGTAATATGCAAGGACATTTTTCTTATTTAACAATTGCTTTTACCTTCTTTTAATAACATAACGTACATATTCAGTAAGGATATTTTAATGTTTATTTTAAAATAATAAAGAAACCGGTTTGAAAAATCGTCTGGCATAAGTTCTTTCTGTCAAAGGTGAAACATAGTAAACACTACAACTTCTTTCTTCTCTAATATCGCACCATTTCTAGAATTTCTAAGTTTGAAAGAAAACTAATTTATTTGGTAGCATGCAAGTAGTTCCAGAGAACATTTACGTAATAATGAAAGTAGTTATTACAATTACATAATAAAAAAATCTGGAAAAATTGATGAAGTGACTTACCTAGCCCTTTTGGAAGTTACGTCTGATGCACATCTTTAGCATTTGTGACCATAATATGTACGCTCAAATGTCATATTGATCTGTCTCGGCCTTGCATACATACATATAATTTTAAGTTCTGTAACAGATATTAAGGTCTAAATCCCGAATAATAATAATAATAATAATAATAATAATAATAATTAACATCGACATAAGTGGTAAGAATATACATAACAAATATGAAAGGTGTACAGTCCACTGAATGTAATATAGAGATCGCTGTTATAATTCTTCCACAGCTTCTGGGTGTTGCAGAATTTTCACTATTGTTTGGCAATCTCCAAACATTATATTTAAAACAAAATATTTGTACCCGTGAAGTATAACGATCTTTCACATTAATTGGGATTCACTTTAAATAAATGCAAGTCTACTGGATAAAGTACGTATGGAATATCTACACCGAAATATGACGTCGGAAACAATATATAAGACTCGAAGACGATGCTGGGTTTAAACTTTAAACCTTCTCCTTGGGATTTTAAATTTAAGACCATTTTTAAGCAATCAGTATCATGTTGGAAAAATATATTAGAACTAGACGGAGGACGAAATGGGAACACAAGATAGAATTTTTCGCGGTGTGTTTTTCTCATAATGACTGGGTTATTCCTGACCATTTTCGAGTTAGTATTAAGTTTTTATTAACAAGTGCTTTAGCTCACTTAAAAACTTTAGTCTACAGAAAAGCGTTTGGTCTAGCTAGAATTAGTATTGTATATATATATATATATATATATATATATATATATATATATATATATATATATATATATATATATATATATATATATATATATATATATATATATAGTAACCAAATAGATCTGTCACCCAAAATGTTTACTGCCGCAGCCTATTAGAAACATACAAAAATAAAACGTGACTCACGAGTTCAGTGATTTCCTTGTGCTTCAACTGTTATCATCCAATTTCATTCCCGTGTTATTTATGTATAATAAATTGTGCGTAACATGAAAAAAAGTAAATTTACAAGATATTAAAAAGCTTAAACTGGTTAGCGTTGACTCCGTTTTATGTACAGTACAGGTACAAAATTTCTAATGCTGTACAGTTGTGAAATCATTGATCTATAGATGTTTTACTGGTGAAGAAATCGGTGATTAATTTAGTTGTATACAGGATAGACGAGAAACTGATAAAGTACACTTTAAACTAATGTAGAAAAAAAAATAATGTTAATATTATTTCATTTCGGATTATAAAGGACCGTATGTAAACGCGTCCACACACACACACACACACACAATGCCCGCGTGTGTGTGTGTGGACGCTTTTACACAAGAATTTATGTACATGTAGTTGTAGCATGAGTGTGAGGATTCAGTGTAGGCCTACATAAGGAGTGTTGTGCAAGTAATGCATTTGCCTGGGGCGTAGCAGGAAGCCTGGGACGTCTGTGTAGCCACCATCCACACCTCCGTCACCCCTGAACTACGATAAACTAGTGATACCTGGAGGTTTTCCTTTATAATTATTATGAAAAACTCTTGTCATGGAAAAACAGAGTTGGTAAATTAATGAACGATGAATACAATTAGCACATGTGCAAAGTTAATTGGTTATTATTTTTAATAGGAATTCGTAATAAGGTGATTATCCTCATTATATTGTCACACTCGGGAATTTTTCAGTGATGGGAGATATTTAGTTCAGAAGTGAAAAACAAAACTCGTGTAGCAACAACAAGAAACAATTTTTTTAATGGTGGCACAAAAGTATATATTTTTCAATTGTTAATGCACACAAATGGGTGTGGCAGCTGATTAAATACAGTACTGACTGACCTCCCGTCCTAAGGGTCACTGGCTTGGTCCCGGGGCACCCCCAGTCTACCCGGCTTCAAATGGGTACGTAACGGGAGGACAGGCTTATGGAACCTGTTTTCAATGAGTAAGGCAGTGAGAAGTAACGGGGCCCCATCTGTTAAGTACCGATTTATGAAGTAGTAGCTCATATATTTGTATCTTGTAATAAATACAGTTGTCATCAGCCGGACATTTTGTAGAATAATTGGTTATTTTATTTGACAGGAGGTGATGGTGGTAGTGAGTGTGGGTGATGGAGGGGGGGAAGGGGCGGGCGCTCCCGGCCCCGCCCCTGCCTTAGCCCACTACCCGGCTCAGTATACCCCTCGGTACCCGGGCCCCCGGAAGTTCCCACCCAAGGGCGATTACCCACCTGCCTACGATAGTGACTCCAACAGTGACCACAGTAGCAGCGGGCGAGGCAGTGGAGGCAGTGACCTGGGTAGTGAGGTGGACAGGTTGGTATCTGGTCTGTTTTTCCTATTATCTGAAAATAAAAAAATAATGTATTTTTTTTTACCTCTGGATGCCGAATCCGGACTACCACAATAAGTAGTCCTGCAGCTTATCCACTAGACCACCGTGGGTTCATAATTATGCAACTCCATCTTAACTGCCCTCTTGTAGATGAAGGTTCCTCGTGGTCTAGTGGATAAGCTGTCTGACAACCAATTGTGATGGTCCGGGATCTACACACGGCACTTTGGGGTTATAATAGTTTACAGTGATTCACCTGTGTAGATTACAGGCGCTGAAATAAAACTTTATATTATTCCTTTTCACGCCTTTACTTTTTTTCAATTTACAATTTTTTTCTTTTTAATCCAACTTCTTTGTGACGGTGAACTTCCTATAGTTGTCCGGCCGTCAGTCGTCGCTCTGGTACTCGCTCTAACGTGCCAAATTACTCTTGATTCCGAAGTGCTGGAATAAAAAACGTGTTTGGCGGCCATTTGAAATTGTTTTTTTTTTTCATGAAATTTTCGTAAGTTGTCTGTGGGCTAACTACGGTATGGCACAAGTGTATGACACTGGTGCTCTGATACACCTAATAAAAAAAAAAAAAAAAAAAAAAAAATATATATATATATATATATATATATATATATATATATATATATATATATATATATATATATATATATATATATATATATATATAAATAAAGGCGATTTGGTGTCCAATTTTCAGTTTTTTATTTTTCCTAAGTAGTACCAATGTGTGAACTACTGTACAGCTTTGATTTATATTTGACACAACTTAATCGTAAGAGATAAAAGTTCCCTGGCGCATATAAAGCATTTTTTTTTTAATCAATATGTTCCTTAATCGTTATGTTAGAGTCGAACACTTTGGCGAAGGTATTAAATCTTGCTGATATTTTCGCATATTTTAAAAATATCTGAACAGCTCACTCGGTGTTGCCTGTACTTAATGTACACCAGGAACCAAAACCTTTCTTCTGCCCATATGCTCTTCATGTGGGTGTTTTGTGGTTTCAGTTTGGTTAATCGTCTTTCCTTTGGAACGCTTGGGGTTATTTGGATAATTTGTAAGACCGATGCCTTTTCTCTTTACGTTACTTCATGTTGCTGCCATAATACTTCCTCTGTTATCAATTCTTTTTTTTTTAATATTTTCTACAAATTGTGAAATAAAACTGCATTCCTGTACATCATCACCAGGGAGAGCACGCGGCTGGAAGACAGTGGGAGGTATAGTGCTGATGGGTGTGAGACTGACCTCCAGCCTCCCCCCTTGTCCTCCGTCACCGCCGCCCACAACTCTCCACACAAACGCCTCCCCCACAACAACAGTGACAACAGCAAGCCCAGCCATGTGGCCCCCACGCAGGCTCAGACACCCTCTAGCAACAAGAGTGACAACCAGGGGCGGGAGGACCAGATTAAGGGACACAGGTGAGAGTGAAGAGCTTTGTGTAGGGATATTCGCACCGAGGAGAGTTATAAATAAATTTCCTCCTGTGGGGGAAGTAGATGCATTGAGTTTTGTTATGAACAATAGTGTTTTGCAGGTGAAACGAACAAAAATTATACAGCTTCGTAACTCTTCTTGTCTTTGAATAAGGAAAACCGGACAGTACACTTTAACTGTCTGAAATATAATTCTTAATTTTAGAGCTTGAAATATGCAGATGATATTAACGTAATTTACATAAGTATATTGTTTCAAATTGTGTCTATGATATTCGCTAATCCTGGAGTACTTTCGATCGTTCATATATTAGAAAATCCAGGGTCTTAGGTCCTGAACTATGTCGCTCATACAGTGAGTATATTGGCCAACAAATATCATTATTAGTGTAGTAATAGTTGTAGTAATAGTGACTAATAGTAATTATAGTAATAGTAGTAGCTAGTAGCAGTTGTATTAGTATCATTCAAAACTTATCTTAAAATATCAATCATTATACTATACACGTTTCTTATAACTTTCATTTGGCCGAGACAGTCAGTGTATCGGCTTGATGTGTTGGCAAATACTGAGCATGACTGTGGTCGTTTGTTGACAGGCGGGCCCCTAGGAGCGCCCCTGTAACCCACCCGCCTGTGGATGCGCCCCTGTGTGTCCAGTGTGCCCGCAGGGATCTCGCCTTCTTCGACCCTGGTTGTAGTGGATGTGCTGCCCTCTTGAGGCGGCTCACGACCACACCCTCACACCTGTTCGCAGTCATGAGGCAGTGGGTGCCGCAGGTCCAGCACAACATACATCACTTGATTGGCCAGGTCAGTACTCCTACGGTTGTACACATTATACTCCATCTGATTGTTCAGGCTACTGCACAATATACTGTACACGTTTGATTAATTAGTTCAGCGTCACAGGTTCAGCACAAACAATATACTGTACACGTTTGATTAATTAGTTCAGCATCACAGGTTCAGCACAACATACACCTCTTCATTTCTCAAGTCACTGCCACTTTCCCTAATCATCACGTCTCCCCATCATCCTCACCTGCCAGTGACCTTTCTTACACCATGTCTGTGGTTACGAGAGTCACCTCCCTATCACGACCCTAACCCCTGACGCCTCGATCAACAACACTCCAGTGCCGACATGATCTGGCCTTGATCACGGGTCTACCTGGCCTTGATCACGGGTCTACCTGGCCTTGATCACGGGTCTACCTGGCCTTGATCACGGGTCTACCTGGCCTTGATCACGGGTCTACCTGGCCTTGATCACGGGTCTACCTGGCCTTGATCACGGGTCTACCTGGCCTTGATCACGGGTTTACCTGGCCTTGATCACGGGTTTACCTGACCTTGATCACGGGTTTACCTGACCTTGATCACAGGTCTACCTGGCCTTGATCACAGGTCTACCTGGCCTTGATCACAGGTCTACCTGGCCTTGATCACAGGTCTACCTGGCCTTGATCACAGGTCTACCTGGCCTTGATCACAGGTCTACCTGGCCTTGATCACAGGTCTACCTTGATCACAGGTCCTTGGTCGATCAGGTCTACCTGGTCTTGATCACAGGTCTATCATTGCTGGTCTTGACTGGTTGATCACAGGTCTACCTGGTCTTGATCCAGGATCACTGGCCTTGATCACAGGTCTGGCTTGATCACTGGTCTACCTGGTCTTGATCACAGGTCTACCTGGTCTTGATCACAGGTGTACTTGGTCTTGATCACAGGTGTCCTTGTCTTGATCACAGGTGTACCTGGTCTTGATCACAGGTCTACCTCAGGTCTTGATCACAGGTCTGGTCTTGATCACAGGTCTACCTGGTCTTGATCACAGGTCTCCTGGTCTTGATCACAGGTCTTGGTCTGACAGGCTTGGTCTTGATGTCACCTGGTTACCTTGGTCTTGATCATCTTTTGGTCTTGGTCACAGGTCTACCTGGTCTTGATCACAGGTCTGGCTTGGTCTGATCTGGGTCTACTTGGTCTTGATCACAGGTCTACTTGGTCTTGATCACAGGTCTTGGTCTTGATCACACAGGTCTTGATCACAGGTCTACTGGTCTTGATCACAGGTCACCTGGTCTTGTCTACCTGGTCTTGATGGTCTATCACAGGTCTACTTGGTCTTGATCACAGGTCACTCTACTTGGTCTTGATCACAGGTCTACTGGTCTTGATCACAGGTCTCTTGGTCTTGATCACAGGTCTACCTGGTCTTGATCACAGGTCTACTTGGTCTTGGTCTTGGGTCTACTTGGTCTTGATCACAGGTCTACTTGGTCTTGATCACAGGTCTCTCTTGATCACAGGTCTGTTTGGTCTTGATCACAGGTCTACCTGGTCTTGACTGGTCTACCTGGTCTTGATGGTCTTGATGGTCTACTTGGTCTTGATCCACTTGGTCTTGATCACATAGGTCTACTTGGTCTTGATGATGATCAGGTCTACTTGGTCTTGATTGATACTTGGTCCTGGTCTTGATCACAGGTCTACCTGGTCTTGATCACAGGTCTACCTGGTCTTGATCACAGGTCTACCTGGTCTTGATCACAGGTCTACCTGGTCTTGATCACAGGTCTACCTGGTCTTGATCACAGGTCTACCTGGTCTTGATCACAGGTTTACTTGGTCTTGATCACAGGTCTACCTTAACCCACCCGGTCTCCTGCCCATCCTCTTAGCACCATGTTCCCAGGTCCCTAATGATTACTGAACTTAGTTATTATCTCTACGATTTATCTTTTTTTTTCTGTTTAACAAAAGATAGTGATGAAACCTCAGCCACTTTGGTAATTCGTGCTTTCATCACAGCAATTCAGCCGCTGTAATTTTTATTGTTTTTATCTAACATTTAGTAAGTCGATTTGAAGTTGACAGTTTATTTAGCCAAAAAAATACAGATACAGAGTAGACAATAATAACAACATTGACATGGTTTAGCCAAGCGAGAGCCTGAACCTTCTTAGTGGCACCTCATACTGTACGTTTATCTCAAGGAAGTATTAAGTTACAGTACATGGTGTTGGTAAATACTATGAGAATGTTATCTCGTTTATCACTTTTATTTATTTATTTATTTATTTATGTATTTATTTTTTACATTTATTTTCTAAATTTTAACGCATTGTTACAGCAGAGTAATAGTGATATACAGTAATCTGGGTGGAAACGATGCAACATGGGTGTGTTGAGGTGAAATATAAGGGCAGACACAGTCAGGATCATATCTTGATGACAAAATATTGCAATGGTAATTTTAGTTAACTTGATAATTATGATATAATAGTTTCTAATAATATAAAAGTGTTACACAAATATTAATATTTAGACAATAGATTTATTTTGAGATAATTTAAAGGAAGTGAGCATAGTCTTTGATTTTACTGTGAATGGCTTGTATGTGGTTTATCCAGTTTAGTTTATCATCAACAGCAACCCCAAGGAATTTAGTGTTCTGATCACGTTTGTATACTGTATTACCGAGGTCCAGCTCCGGGGGTAAGAGTGTAGTCTGTAGTGAGTTTCTTCGGGGATGAACGTCAGTTTGTGATATTGTGCTCGACTTTGGTTTGTTCTGTTGAGATTTTTACTCATAATTCGGAAGTTTATTTATTTTTCTTAACTGCTGATGGGGAAAGTTGGATAAATGAAAATGGATAACATGAAAACTTGCCTCTCGGATTTTCAGTAGGGGCTCGTTTGTTGTCCTGGATGTCACTGGTTTGTGTCAGGGCCATCCCCAGTTCACCCAGCTCTGAATGGGTGCCGGTCACACTGCTTTTTTGTGTATACCGAAAAAGGGCGCAGTCTACAATGTGCTGACCCTAATAATCCGTCAGACCTACGAGACTCACTCCCACTTTCAAGCCAAAGATTATGGTTCCATGGTTACACGGTTATTTTGCCTTATTCGCGGAAGCTTAATTATTTAAATTTTATATTTTTTTTTACGGGGATTAGCCCACCTGGGCATAGGTCACTGTCCCACATCGGGGCATGGGGGCGAAAATGTAATAATATTAATAATGGTAATAATAATAATAATACTGTAATTATGTATGTTGTGTTGTCAATAGTAAGAGAAACAATTGAGACCCTGCAATTGTGTGTAAATGAGGCAGAAAGTCAGATGAGCAACCTGGGACTTGGTCACAATTTTCGTGATGCCATATGGCAACAGGGTCTACCATTAGACAACACATTATGCTTCCAACATCTTCCCAGGCGGCAGTACCTCCATATTTGGTAGCTGCTTACTACCTAATGTCATTGTTGGTCAGCTCAACACAAAGGTTCTGGCCGAGCATCAAGTCTACGTTGCTTTTCACGATTCTCGATAAATAGCTGAGGCACGTTAATGAT